TATAAAATATTCATAAAAAGTGACATAATTCGAAATCTGAGTTTAAGCCGTAGGGGATCAAAGTATTTAATTTATAAATCCACTCCATTTCTAGTTTACCCAACTCTCTAATAAAATCCCCCCCTCTCCAATTTCTGTTCAATTTGTAAATTCCCATAAAAATCAAACCTTCTGGTTTCTGATTATGAAATTTTTTAAAAAATTTCATAATCAGAAACCAGAAGGTTTGATTTTTATGGGAATTTACAAATTGAACAGAAATTGGAGAGGGGGGGATTTTATTAGAGAGTTGGGTAAACTAGAAATGGAGTGGATTTATAAATTAAATACTTTGATCACCTACGGCTTAAACTCAGATTTCGAATTATGTCACTTTTTATGAATATTTTATAATTCGTACATGTCTTTTGGATTATATAGGGATATTTTTATGTATTTCTTATATATAAGCTTTATGCTTCTTAAGGTTTTTATGTTTTTTGGATTTATGAAGCCGGATGGATTATTTGAATTATGTGCAATATACATTCTCTGTTTATGTATAATACACATTCCCTGGTTATCTAAGGGATTCTGTTCGCATGAACTGTATTAAATCGGACACAGGATGGAATAAGGAGAAAAAAAAAAAAAAAAAAAAAAAAAAAAAAAAAAAAAAAAAAAAAAAAAAAAAAAAAAAAAAAAAAAAAAAAAAAAAAAAAAAAGAAGGTGGATGTGAAAATATGAGAGATAAGTGAAAGAACAGTTTTGATGAGAAATAAGTGGAATAACAATTATTATATGAGATGCCACATTTTTTGATATAATGGATAAGCTGTTTTATTATAACAAAAATGTCTTTTTGAGAAGTGAAAACTGATACCGTCATCCAGAGTGAACACAAGTTAAAGTAATTAACAAATATGTGTATGGATAATATTTAAAAACACTTTCGATAAGTGATGAACTAAAAAGATATATTTGGAATGGTTTTTGATAAGTATTTGACGGCAAGATCACAAAGAGACTGATTTTGCCGTTTAATGATGTGAGGTGCTTGCTACGTTGTATCGCAGAATGATGATTACACTTGCCGGTATTGTATGAGAATTTCACTTGCTGATTATGTATGTAAACGGGACCGAGGCTTGACCCGCACACGCTTTGCCTGTGGGTGGCAATAGCGTGTTACGATACCAGCACGGACCCTTTTGCCGCCAAAACAGGTATTTAAAGAGTATCTAACGAACAGTAATACTGTATTAATATATCCAGTTGAAAAAGCCACAGGATAGTGGCGAAACGCGTTCTGGTTTTCTACACTTTAACATATTGATGTTATTTGTTTTATTAATAGATTTCAGGCATATCTATGCCCTTTTATTTTAAAATAAAGCCAATTTTAATATTATTTGAAATTCTGGAGTTACCTAACTTACCTGCCTCTGCCGTTGCTTGATGGGAGTGCAGTCCCACACTGCACAATACGTGAAAATTGAGTCATAATATCTGACTCCAGGCTTGTAAGTACCCATTTGGGATTTTATACTATTTTATAAAAGAATCGAAATTGTGCTGCGCAATCGTCCGTGTTTTTGCCCTCTTCTTAGGATTAAAACTACAATATGGGGAACTAACCAAAGAAGAGGAAAAACCACCCATACGGACCCAGCAGAAAAAACTTTGATAAGGGGAGGATCGCCTAAACGGATCCAAAAGCGATACCAACTAGAGCTGAGTTTACAGCTCTTTGTTTGCACTTGGTTACCAATACCGAACACATTCCTCAGAGACTATCATACAAGTAAATATTGAGCTTCACAAGCGCTACATTTTTCTGTTTTTTAGCTTATTAAATCAGTTCATTCAGTACGGATTTGATTCTCCTCAGCTCTTTCTTGATGGGTAACAGGAATCAGACAGACATTAATCTGATAATCTTCAGTGTAATTAGATCAGTTATCTGTACATCCAAAAGACTTATGGCTGATAGAATAATTTCATCTTTTTCTGAAGTTTGCTCAAAGGAAAAACAGTAGTGGTAGATGTCTGCAGTTATTACAATAAATACTCTATATTAAAATGTTTCTCATAAATATCTACAGACATCGTTGTCTGCCTAATAGATCGTTTTCTGTTTGGTCATAAACAGGAATATTTTAATTGTAATATTTTCACAGGTCCTGTATTCCTGTAAAGCGTGGAATCTAGTTCAGTTTAAGAAAGCATTACAAGGGAATGTAAAAACTTCTGGTCACTAGAGGCGTAGTTTTAGACAAATGTAAACATTGCCTAAATCCCGAAACCACTTAATTAAGATGATGTGGTTGTTGTGCTTAGAGTACGTGCTATGGTGAGGTTCCAACCGCTTGTTAGATCCGGGTCTGGCCGCTGGTACTTCCTAAACCAGGGGCTCTTCTATCTGGCAGTAACTAGGTATAGGTCAGGAAAGCAGCGTCTTCAGGGTGTCCTCAAACTCATATAGTGATGAGTCAGTATGGAAAATATGAAGACAGAAAACAGAATATAGTGTAGTATATTCTATAGGTGGTGAGGTAAAATAAGAGAAATGGCACATACAATTTTCTGGAGCTTATGTTCAGCTCCAGATATATTCACCCGGGCGGTCTGATCCCCGTCTGTGGATATGTTGTTCAGCTTCGTTCCTTGTAAATAGTAGGTCAGGGTCAACCGTCAGAGTGCCATGTTCACAGGTATTTCACTCCAAAATTGCAGTGTCACCGATATTCAAAAAGGAGAGCAAAAAATTAGGTTTTTGCTTAATCTTGTGTAGTGTTGGTGTTTTCCTCCCCACCAAGGAGGTAGAAAATGTGGCTCCTCCAGATAAAATCTTCAGGGATAAAATCAGGAAGGTCCAAGTAAGGTAAGAAACTAGTTTTAAAAACACTAATGCGTTAAACCCAAAGGGGCTTTTTCAAAGTGTTTCACAAAATGTCGAGACTAAAAGGCTAGTCAGGGCATAAACCCTAAGAAAGCACTGGACTTTGCTGGTTACCACCCGCATTGAGGACAAAGAACAAACCCCATGTGCTGCCAATCTTTTTGCAATGGGAGTCTACTAGATTACAAGGTGTGTGTCAACAACGTTAAATGGGCACACAGGACTGGGATGATCCCCACCAATCCAAAAAGGCCTGCCCCATGTCTTATCGGTTTTAATAAGTCATGGGGGAAAGGTCTCTGGGCTCTTAGTTTCTGTGAAATGTTTCCTTGCATTAAAAGAAGGCAAAGCAGACAAATCAAGAAAACTTGACTTAATGTTCAGTGTGTGCTTATTTCTGTAAGAACCAATTATCCTGAGAAATGACTGTTCCTTTATGAAGCTTTAGCTGAAACTTTGCATCTTCTGATCCAATTGACATGCAACTTACTTAGCAAATAGAAATTTACTTCCTGGCAATTATGCACACACAAATATTATAATTTTGTTGAAAATAACACATTGTTGAATCCCTGATTTCTCCCCTATTTAATAAAAAAAAGGGGGGAAAGGCCATTTTTATTATTTTGCTAATTCACAATTGTAAATCTCATTAGACTCCCACTACAAAGGCAAAAACAGACCACAAGCAACAACTGAGAGTTCATTCTAGGAAAATGAAAACTTTCAGGCTGACTGGCAGAACACGCTAGGGAGGAGTTGGAAGTCTTGGTACGATGCTAAGAAAGGTGGTTATGACAAGTTGGAACACGTTCCTTTAAGATGTTACGAGTCAGCCATAGAGGAGAGCAGCTGCAAAACAGGCAGGATTAATCAATAGATACAATGCCATCCCTGGTGGGATCACAGATAGGAACAATCAATCTGCTCATAAACAGCATCCACATAAGCTGCACATTCCCCATTCTCCCATTAACAATCTGTAAATTGGGAAGGTTTTTCAGAATTTCAACTCAAGGATGTTTCTGTTTAAATGTATCATTGGTGGTGAAGAAAGGATTTAATTTGTATCAAAAAAATTAGGTTGTAATAACCGAATTTTATTTAGCAATTCTCAGAAATTAATAAAGCCAAATTGTGGGGCCGGGCCTGACCAGCATGGCCACTGGATGCACATTGCATGAGCTCCTAGCTTGACACGTTTCTTGATCTAACGCCCAACACCACAATCTGCCTAATCTGTGGCCTGATTATCCCTCAAACAACCCTAGCAGTCTGCTGTCAACTTCCATAGAGCGCCCAAAGCTCCCCTGTCCGGTGGATCCCATTGAGGCCTAACAATCGGTTGGACGGGGGAGGCTCCCGCTCTGCAGCATTGAGCCCTTAGTGACCTCATCTTCTCGACCAAACTCTCCACCTACGGTGCACTGGAAAATGTCTGAAACGTCCGCAACAACTCCTAATATGTCGTGCCGACCGCAACCTACCATCGGGAGTGCATAAGCAGAGGCTATATCCTGTAACTCCCCGAGAGGCTGTGATGTCAGGGGGATCACCAACACTGCAGCACGGCACATCTCCACACTTCAGCCTGTTGCCCCATTGACCTCCTCTTGGACTCTTAAGCTACCTCATGCAACATGTATGGGACACTTGCCTACCATCCAGGTGCATCGGCTGAGCGGATCTGTGATGGATCAGCAGATTCCCCATAGCCATACCAGTTCTAAGGGCTAACACTCTGTAGTATTGCTATCTATGATTACAATTAATGGCTGATCCCAATTAACACTATTTAGTTGTTGGTTCCTAGCTGCATTCTAATTTATTTGTTTTATGTATACCTACTCTCAGCAGGATTATGCCATACTCTAACACCACATGGCTGGATACAAGTTGCACACTAACATAAGCATGTTTCACAACATACATTAACACTTTTATCACCATGTCTATGACTTTGCGTAGCTTAGTATCTCTCACTAAATAGTTGAGCTAGACATGTTATGCTTAGCCTGTACTCTACACTACATTGAAAAATTGTGCCTATTGTACCTATTATGCTTTGTCTCATTAACTGTCTTGCCAATGCTGTTGGGACAGGGTAAGAATGTATGCTAATCATATGCACACTAAAAATAAAACCATTCTATAATTCTCAAGTAAGAATTGCATATACATAGCTCCCATGTGTCACTATTTCAGAGGGACAGTCTCTATTTTCGGGCCAAATCCATCCGTCCCTCTTTCCCAGGAGCTCCATATTGTTGGTGTGTCTGAGTGTATAACATAGCTGCACAGAAATATTACTCCCACTATAAACTGTAATAAATGTGTTCAAAAACCTGTCTGTAAATAAA